TTGGGAAGCGGCTCCTTGAAAAGTTTGGGAAGCGGCTCCTTGAGGATCTCTCCCAAAAAGTGGCTCCTCAAGGGTCTCTCCCAAAGTTTGGGAAGCGGCTCCTTGAAGGTCACTCCTAAAAGTTTGGGAAGCAACTCCTTGAGGTTCTCCAAAAAAAGTTTGGGAAGCGGCTCCTTGAGGGTCTCTCCCAAAAAGCGGCTCCTTGAGGTTCTCCCAAAAATTTTGGGAAGCGGCTCCTTGAGGATTTTTTCCCAGAAAGTTTGGGAAGCGGCTCCTTGAAAAGTTTGGGAAGCGGCTCCTTGTGGATCTCTCCCAGAAAGTTTGGGAAGCGGCTCCTTGAGGATTTTTTCCCAGAAGGTTTGGGAAGGGGCTCCTTGTGGCTCTCTCCCAGAAAGTTTGGGAAGGGGCTGGGTGTGGCGTGGGGGATTTTTGGGATTCAGGCAGCCCTCGTGTGCCCGCAGAACGTGAAGCAGCAGGGACCAATCCTGACGAAGCACGGCAAGAACCCGGTGATGGAGCTGAACGAGAAGCGGCGCGGCCTCAAGTACGAGCTGATCTCGGAGACGGGCGGGAGCCACGACAAGAGATTTGTCATGGAGGTGAGGGGACACGGAGCTTCCCAGAGCTCCAGATCCCAGTCCAAACCCTATCCCAGAGCTTGGAAAATCACCTCAACCCCTTCCCGGGAGTTTAAATCATCAAATCCAAGTGATTTGGGTTGGGAAAAACCCAAATTAAATCTCATTAATGGGCTGGGACAGAATTCCAGCTCTGGGATTCCCTGGAGCTCTCCAATCTTTTCCTGACTTTTGGGTTGGGAGAAACCCAAATTAAATCTCATTAATGGGCAGGGTCAGCCTGTGACAATTCCAGCTCTGGGATTCCCTGGAGCTCTCCAACCTTTTCCTGACTTTTATCCACTTCCAACGTGTGGTTCCATCCCTTCCTAAGAGTTTAAATCATCAAATCCAAGAGTTTTGGGTTGGGAGAAACCCAAATTAAATCTCATTAATTGCCCAGGACAGCCTGTGACAATTCCAGCTCTGGGATTCCCTGGAGCTCTCCAACCTTCTCCTGACTTTTATCCACTTCCAACGTGTTTTTCCATCCCTTCCCGAGAGTTTAAATCATCAAATCCAAGTGATTTGGGTTGAAAGAAACAATTAAATCTCATTAATGGGCTGGGATAGAATTCCAGCTCTGGGATTCCCTGGAGCTCTCCAACCTTTTCCTGACTTTTATCCACTTCCAACGTGTTTTTCCATCCCTTCCCAAGAGTTTAAATCATCAAATCCAAGTGATTTGGGTTGGGAGAAACCCAAATTAAATCTCATTAATGGGCTGGGACAGAATTCCAGCTCTGGGATTCCCTGGAGCTCTCCAATCTTTTACTGATTTTTATCCACTTCCAATGATTTTTTCCATCCCTTCCCAAGAGTTTAAATCATCAAATCCAAGTGATTTGGGTTGGGAGAAACAATTAAATCTCATTAAAGGGCAGGGACAACCTTCCAGCTCCGGGATTCCCTGGAGCTCTCCAACCTTTTCCTGACTTTTATCCACTTCCAACGTGTTTTTCCATCCCTTCCCAAGAGTTTAAATCATCAAATCCAAGAGCTTTGGGTTGGGAGAAACCCAAATTAAATCTCATTAAAGGGCAGGGATAGACTGAGACAATTCCAGCTCTGGGATTCCCTGGAGCTCTCCAACCTTTTCCTGACTTTTATCCACTTCCAACGTGTGGTTCCATCCCTTCCCAAGAGTTTAAATCATCAAATCCAAGTGATTTGGGTTGGGAGAAACAATTAAATCTCATTAATTGCCCAGGACAGCCTGTGACAATTCCAGCTCCGGGATTCCCTGGAGCTCTCCAACCTTTTCCTGACTTTTATCCACTTCCAACGATTTTTTCCATCCCTTCCCAAGAGTTTAAATCATCAAATCCAAGAGTTTTGGGTTTGGAGAAACAATTAAATCTCATTAATGGGCTGTGACAATTCCAGCTCTGGGATTCCCTGGAGCTCTGCAACCTTTTCCTGACTTTTATCCACTTCCGACGATTTTTTCCATCCCTTCCCGAGAGTTTAAATCAAATCCAAGTGATTTGGGTTGGGAGAAACCCAAATTAAATCTCATTAATTGCCCAGGACAGCCTGTGACAATTCCAGCTCTGGGATTCCCTGGAGCTCTCCAACCTTTTCCTGACTTTTATCCACTTCCATCGTGTTTTTCCATCCCTTCCCAAGAGTTTAAATCATCAAATCCAAGAGTTTTGGGTTGGGAAAAACCCAAATTAAATCTCATTAAAGGGCAGGGATAGACTGAGACAATTCCAGCTCTGGGATTCCCTGGAGCTCTCCAACCTTTTCCTGACTTTTGGGTTGGGAGAAACCCAAATTAAATCTCATTAATGGGCTGGGACAGAATTCCAGCTCTGGGATTCCCAGGAGCTCTCCAATCTTTTCCTAATTTTTATCCACTTCCAACGTGTTTTTCCATCCCTTCCCAAGAGTTTAAATCAAATCCAAGAGTTTTGGGTTGGGAGAAACCCAAATTAAATCTCATTAATTGCCAAGGACAGCCTGTACAATTCCAGCTCTGGGATTCCCTGGAGCTCTCCAACCTTCTCCTGACTTTTATCCACTTCCAATGATTTTTTCCATCCCTTCCCAAGAGTTTAAATCATCAAATCCAAGAGTTTTGGGTTGGGAGAAACAATTAAATCTCATTAAAGGGCTGTGACAATTCCAGCTCTGGGATTCCCTGGAGCTCTGCAACCTTTTCCTGACTTTTTGGGTTGGGAGAAACCCAAATTAAATCTCATTAATGGGCTGGGACAGCCTGTGCAATTCCAGCTCTGGGATTCCCTGGAGCTCTCCAACCTTTTCCTGACTTTTATCCACTTCCAATGTGTGGTTCCATCCCTTCCCAAGAGTTTAAATCATCAAATCCAAGTGATTTGGGTTGAAAGAAACAATTAAATCTCATTAATGGGCTGAGACAATTCCAGCTCTGGGATTCCCTGGAGCTCTCCAATCTTCTCCTGACTTTTATCCACTTCCAACGTGGGGTTCCATCCCTTCCCAAGAGTTTAAATCTTCAAATCCAAGAGTTTTGGGTTGAAAGAAACAATTAAATCTCATTAATGGGCTGGGACAGAATTCCAGCTCTGGGATTCCCTGGAGCTCTCCAACCTTTTCCTGACTTTTATCCACTTCCAACGTGTT